CCTAGAAACAATAGACTTGTATAGTAAAGTTGCTGGCTATAAAATCAATACCCAAAAGTCCAGGGCTTTTCTATACCCAAACAGTGAGAGAGAAGAAAATGACATGAAATAAACAATCCCATTCACAATTGATCCCCAAAAAATCAAATACCTAGGAAGTAGCTTAACTAAGGAAGTAAAGGACCTATACAAAGAAAACTACAAAACGCTACTTCAGGAAATAAAAGAGGACATGAGGAAATGGAAACATATCCCCTGCTCATGGGTCGGGAGACTTAACATTGTCAAAATGGCAATGCTTCCCAAAGCATTGTACAAATTCAATGCGATCCCTATAAGGATACCTATGACATTCTTCAAAGAAATGGAACAAACACTCCTGAAATTCATATGGAACAATAAGCCCTCACGAATAGCTAAAGCAATTCTTGGGAAAAAGAAAATGGGAGGAATCAACCTCCCTAACTTCAAACTACTACAAAACAGTAATAATTAAAACAGCATGGTACTGGAACAAAGGCAGAGTTGCAGACCAATGGAACAGGGTTGAATACACTGACATCTCCCTCAATCATATGATCATCTAATCTTTGATAAAGGTGCAAGAAATGTAAAGTGGAGTAAGGAAAGCCTCTTTAACAAATGGTGCTGGCAAAACTGGACGGCTACATGCAAAAAATGGGCTCAGAACTCTACCTAATACCAAGTACAAAAGTAAGATCAAAATGGATTAAAGATCTCAACATCAGACCAGAAACCATAAGGTACATTGAAGACAAAGTTGGCAAAACCCTCCATGAAGTTGAAGCTAATGGTATCTTCAAAGATGTCACACCACTGGCCCAGCAAGTGATAACAGAGATAGATAAATGGGACTATCTTAAACTAAGAAGCTTCTGCACCTCCAAAGAAACAGTGACCAAAATACAAAGACAGTCTACAGAATGGGAAAGGATATTCGCTGAATACACATCTGACAAGGGGTTGATATCAAGGATATATAAAGTACTGGTTGAACTCCACAAGAAGAAAACATCCAACCCCCTAAAAAATGGGGCAATGAAATGAACAGAGACTTTCTCAAAGAAGAAATCCGAATGGCAAAAAAGCACATGAGAAAATGCTCTACATCATTAATTATCAGGGAGATGCAGATCAAAACCACAATGAGATACCATCTCACACCTCAGAGACTAGCTCACATCCAAAAGAACAAAAGCAACCGATGCTGGCGCGGATGTGGTGAGAAAGGAACACTCCACTGCTGGTGGAAATGCCGACTGGTTCAGCCCTTTTGGAAAACAGTATGGACGATTCTCAAAAAATTAGAAATTGAGCTCCCATTTGACCCAACAATACCACTCCTGGGAATATATCCCAGAGAGGCAAAGATGTATGGTCAAAGTGACATCTGCACTTGTTTGTTCATTGCAGCACTCTTTACAATAGCCAGAAACTGGAAGAAACCTGAGTGCCCAAGAACAGATGACTGATTAAAGAAACTTTGGTACGTCTACACAATGGAGTACTATGTAGCTGTTAGAAAAGATGAAATCATGAATTTTACATACAAGTGGTACCACATGGAAAGTATCATGCTAAGCGAAATGAGTCAGAAAGAGAGGGAAAGACATAAAAAGATTGCATTCATCTGGGGGACATATAGTAACAAAATAGGAGATTAATACCCAAGAATAGCCACGAGCAGTACCAGGAGAATTACTCCACGGCTTAGAGGCCAGCCGGGCCATCTAGGGGAAAGGGCAGCTCAGATAGAGAAGGGAGCACCAAATAAAGGGTGTTTGGAGGATCCTCCCAGGAGAGGAGATACATGTTGAAAGTAGACTATGGACTGAACATGATTGCCACTCAATGCCTCTTTTGCAGACCACAACACCCAAAAGGAGTGAGAGAACAAAAGGGAATGCCCTGCCACAGAGGCAGGGTGGGATGGGGGGATGGGTGTGGGAGGGATACTGGGATCCATGGTGGTGGAAAATGGGCACCGGTGGAGGGATGGGTACTTGATCATTGTATAATTAAAACCCAAGCACAAAACTTTGTAAATCTACAACTGTACCTCATGGTGTCCCACTAATAAAAAAATAAGAATGGGGGAGGAAGCGAGAGAGTACTGCAGAGAGGGAGCTTGTCATGCACGTGGCCAACCCAAATTCCATCCCCAGAACCCCATATGGTCACAGAATCATCCCTGAGCACAGTCAGGAGTAAGCCTTGACACTGTCAGGTGTGGGCCCAAATCCAAAATAAATAGGATTGAAAAATAGAATTTTTTTTCTAAGTGTGAGAGCAAGAGAGAAAAAGAAGGTAGGGTCTTCGAGATGTCTCAGTGACTTGCACGTGTGAGGCATGAGTTCAACCTCTGTGCTGCCCATAAGTACAGTTGCATTCCCAGTGACTTTATTAAATCCCCAGTGCCACAACACAGAGTGTGATCACCAGCACAGAGGCAGGTGTGAGATGTGCAAGCATCGTGGCCAGGAGTGTGAGCCTCACAGAAAGCACATGTGAGCACCATAGCGCTCCCCAGCAAACATTACAGTCAGAATTTGAGCAAACACAACTCAAGTGTGTTGTCCCTCACCTCACCCATCCCCCTCCCCCCACCCCAATAAAATTGCAACAGCTACAAAGTAAAGGGATTAAAAGAGGGGAAAGTGGGGCTGGAGAGATAACACAGCAGGTAGGGTGGTTGCCTTGCACGCCGCCGACCCGGGTTCGATTCCCAGCATCCCATATGGTCCCCTGAGCACCGCCAGGAGTAACTCCTGAGTGCAGAACCAGGAGTAACCCCTGTGCATCGCCAGGTATGACCCAAAAAGCAAATAAATAAAGAGGGGAAAGTATATTAGGCAGAGAGGACAGAATGAGGACTGAAATACAAAGACACAAGGTTGAGATATATCTAAACTATTTTGTATGGGGATGGATATAAAGAGTTCAAAGCTTTGGGTTTTTACCTGTGTTAATAATTAATTGTGTTCCCCTAATGGGTTACTGATAGCTTATCAGCTTTGGTGGACTTTGACAGCTCTATCCTTGGAGTCTGATTGCAAACAAGTGAGAATGCTGTGATAGGCCCTATGATGGGGTGTCTTGTCCTGTTCCCTCCCTGCTCTGCTCCTGAGGCAATCACGTACCTATTTTAGAGGGTAGCACTGAGGCTTAGCCTAGAAGAACCATAAAATTGGTTTTGGATCCCAGTTTTAAAGAAGAGAATATTTCAGGGCTGGAGCAATAGCACAGCGGGTAGGGCGTTTGCCTTGCACACGGCCGACCCGGGTTTGATTCCCAGCGTCCCATATGGTCCCCTGAGCACTGCCAGGGGTGATCCCTGAGTGCAGAGCCAGGAGTAACCCCTGGGCATCTCCGGGTATGACCCAAAAAGCAAAAAAAAAAAAAAAAAAAAAAAGAATATTTCATTAATAATACGTATTTATGGCTTTTTACTTTTCAGAGTCCCAGGTGTTAGAAGCATGTACTTAATCTCTGGCAGAGGTTCTCATTCCTTTCTTAGCACTGCAAGGAAAGAAAGGGGTGGTAGAGAGGGCACCATTCTGAAACTTGTTGGAGATGAGTCCCAATAGATGACATAATGTCTGAAATTAAAGGGTTATTACAGAGATGCAGGGCTCTAAAGGATCTTCAAGACATACCATTACTTTGAAATTATTTAGAAAATGAAAGACTCTCACCCCACCCCTTACCCAAGCACCATACCTTTCCTATGCCATAATTGCAGGGAGAGGATAATTGAATTTGAGAAAAACCCAGAACCCAGCTCCTCTCAAGAGTGACCTGCTCTGGTTTGGCTCCAGCGCCTTTTCTTTCCCTGTATGCCCAGCCAATAGCAACTAGTTGCTGTCGAGCCCCTATTCTTGATTTCCTGCTCTCCCTTTCTTCCTTAGCACTTCCAGCCTGAGGGGTCCCTTTCACTGGGCATACTCAGAGGCATAGTGCCAACGGGGCGTCAGTCACTGAGCTAGAGCTTGACTGTCGGTGCTTATAATTTCAGAGGGTCTTTCCTTTGGGATACTTGACGACAACAGAGGAAATACTAGACTCCCCTCCCGCAGAATAGAAGAATGGAAGCTTAATGGGTGGCTTATCAAGAAATTTGCATTTCTAAGTGCTGAGATCCATCTCAATTACAAAGGTTTCTTCTCGGATGAGAGTCCTGGGTAACTCACAAAAGGTCACCTTTCACCCAGCATCCAGTTAGAAAATACGGCTTTTAAAGGGGGCTGGTAGGGATTGGGAGAGAAACGGATATTGTTGGAAGAAAAGAACACTAAATGCTTGAAACAGCTATAATGAAAAACTTTGTAAATCACGCTGTTTTTAATTAAAAAATCCATTTTTTTAAAAAAAGGAAATAAGGGTTCGTAGCTTTATATGGGAGTGGGGTGGGGGACTCATGGTTCAAGTACTTGTAAAAAACCGAGCATCATACGGTGTCCAAGAAACGTGGACTGGGCATTATTTGTCCTTTAGGTGTAGGAAACGTTGTGTATGGGTGAGTCCCCTTCAAACACTGACTCGGGGAGGCAGGAGAAGGATTTCGCGTGGATCTGAAGTATGATACAAGTGGGTAGCGGGCTTACTCCTAAGGCTGCGGGGTTGGACCGCTTCCCACGTCCAAAACGGAAAGGCCAGAGCGGGAGGATCCCAGCAGAAGGAGGAGCCTAAGGGGCCTGGAATTCTCGAAAGGGTGGGAAGATTGACCGTAGCTCGAGGCAAGCGCAGCCCTGGCCGCAGCCCAGCCGGAGCCCGCAGGCTGGCGGCCGGCGCACGTTGCCCCGCAGCGGGCGGAGTCCCCACGTGGCAGGCCGGGGCTCCAGGGCGGGGAGGCACGGGGCGGGGCTGAGGGCGGGGCCGGTCTGGTGCGGGGGGCGGGGTCGAGCCGCGCCGGGGGCGGGGCCTTCCACTGACGCGCCCGGTATATAGCGGGGCATGCGCGCGGCAGGGAGGACGAACGCAGGAGGGGGGCGAGCGCTAGGGGCCGCGCCGCGCGGACGCACGCACCGAGCTGCCGCCGCTGCTGCTGCTGCCGCTGCCGCTGCCGCTGCCACTGACGCGGCCGCCGAGGGGCCTGGCTGTGAGGCTGCGCGGGGCCCGACTGGCGATCGCTGGAGCGGCAGGTGAGCGGCGAAGGGCGCACGCGCGGGCGCAGGGCGCTGAGCTCCCGGGATGGGGCATCGCGCCGAGAAGCAGCCTTAGCCTGCTGGCTGGTCTCGGGGTCACCGGGTCTTGCGGGGTGGGGGAGGGTGCACGGCCGGGCCGAGCCTCTGGAACCCGGCCGCCGTGGGTCCCGGCTTCGGACCAGCGCCGGGAGCGGCCCCCGAGGACCGGCCGCGGGCCCGCAAGCCCGGATGCAAGCGGGCACCTGGCCGCAGTGGCCGCCCCGGGGGCTGCTGGCGAGGGGGTGAAGGGTGGAGGGTGGGGGTGGGGGGCGAGGGCGGGGAGGTCGCGGCCGCCGTCCCGGGGCTGGACAGCGCGGGTCCGGAGAAGGGTGTCCGGAGCGTGGAGGGGCTCTCCGGACCCTGCGCGGGGGACAGAAAAGGCGGCGCGGGGGGCCAGCTCCAGAGGCGGCTCAGATGCGGCGGCGGGCTGCCGGACTTTGCTTTCCAAGAACTGTTCCCCCTCCCTCCCACCGCGACCCCTCTCAGCCAGATCCCCTCCCCGCTGACGATGACCCCTCCAGACCTCCCGGCTGAGCTGCAGAAGGACTCGAGAAAGGCGGGGTGGGGGTGGGGGGGCGCTCAGCTCAACTCGGACCCGACTTGCTCGGAAAGCATGGGTTTCGGGCTATTTGGGCTCCTCACGACCCAAAAAGGAAGGGGTCAGTCTGCCCTCTCTTGGTGGGTTAGGGCACTGGGGCCAGAAGGACCATCCTAGTCGGTTCCTCCTGAGCCCAAGGAAGACAAGAATGCTTTCTGACTGTGGGTTGTGTCTTCAGTTTTGGAGATGCGGTGCGTGCCAGGCGGATGGTTTGGCGAGGGTCTGCATGCCCTCCCCGGGCGGAGGGCAGGTCCAGCTTGGACTGGAGCCTCATAGGGCGCGGGGGTGGGGGGGGAGGAGGAGGTTTAGGTCTGCAGGCCGCGCCATCCGTCCCTCGGGGCCCTTTCCGCTGGGTAGTGGAGATGTTAGTTAGAGGGTAGTGTGGACTGGCCCTTGTCCACCTCTGCTCCCAGTTGGCCCCAGTACAGCCTTGGGAACGGATGAGAGTTAAGGGCAGCTTCCCGCTCTAACCCCCTAACGGCTCCTGATTAATTTGTTATCTCTTAAAATCAGAGCCCTGAAGATGGGGAGGAATTTGATGATGCAAGAGAAAATGTCCAGAAGGAAAATTTGAGCAGCTGGAGCGCAATACCACCTATGCCTTTTCCTGGTGGCGACTCAGGACTGAGTTTTCTTAAGTGTGACAGTGGCCAAGAGCTGGAACCAGTCGTGGTCCCCTTCCTTCTGTGGTTTGCAGTGTGACTAGAGGGCGCCAAACAGAATTACTAACCTTGTCTTTAGGCTGGGAGGAAAGCCAGAAGGACTGGCCCCTCCGCCCCTTCTGTGCATAAGTACACAGCGCCTTGAACACGTAGTTCTCTTTCCCCCATCCCTCACACTTCTCTAAGCAAGTTTCTTTAAATAAAACTATTTTGCTTCACTTGAAAAGCATAGTGCCTGCCCTGTGCTTGCTGGGGCTAGGGAGGGGTGCGGGGGGGGGGGGGGGGTTGCTGAGGACACCCAAGAGGGCAGTCCTTGTTGGGGAGAAAGAACAGCCAATGTGAGGAATGAGGAGTCACTGTCCCAGAGGATACCTTGTAGTGTCCAGTTAATTCCACTAGCCATAGTGGAAAGAGACAGAGTTTAAGCTTTGGACCTAAAGCTGAAGGTTTGTAATCAGTTGCTACCTTGTTGCAAGAGTGTGACAGAGATTGGTTTGGTGTTTGGTTTGGGGATCAGACCCAGCCAGCCTCCCCCCAGCTTTTGAACTTGAGCTGTTTGACCGCGGAGATGGGAATCAAGTACTATTCTTATCATCCCATCCTCATCTCTTGGATGGAGTGGGTTGCTTAAGGATTCCAGAAGCTGATCCAGATTGGGGTGTAGCTCTGAGCCCAGATTTAGGATGAATTCATATCTTCCTTATGAACACGGCCTTTTCTTTTTTTGAACATAGCCTTTTGGTGAAGGCCTCTTGTCTGTCACCATCATAACCAAATTTAGTGGGCAAATGGAAAAGGAAACTTTTTCGACCTTGAGTGCTGAGAGCTGGTTTCATTTTTTCAGATAACGGAAATGCCCTTTCTGGGCTGACTGGAGGCAGCAACCTGGGGGTAGGGGAGAGACAGGCGGGTAGACTTCTGGGCACATACTCTTGGTCCCAAATCTGGTTCTGTTTTCAAAGTCTTCCCACTTCCTCTTTCCTTACCTGCCCATGTTCCACTGTATTCCACAGGGAACCTCAGTCTATGTTCATTATTTAGAAGTTTTTGGAATTTAAGTAATGGTGTTGTAAATAGATTTTCTGGAAATTGGAAGCTTTTTCTTTACACTGTATGGAAATAACTCAGCCTGTTTGTACCTAAGGAAAGTAATGTTTAGACATTTGGCAGAATCAAACGTAATAGAATGGGCACAGAGAGATAGTGCAGCGGGTAGGGCGCTGGTCTTGCCGACCGGTTTCAGTCTCAGGCATCCCATATGATCCCCGAGCACAGCTGGGTGTGATCCAGAAACAAGAAAAGGTGATAGAATGTGGAGCTGGGAGGACTTTAGGAAGGCTTCTTTTTCTCACAACAGAAGAACTATAATTTCTATGTTTGTATTCTCAAGTTAAATTGCTTGAAGTTGGCCAAGAGACTTGATGGAGAAGATCAAGGAAAGTATGTTTTCATTTCTAATGAAGTGTATTGATTACACTGTTGATGGTTCTTATCTTTTCCTTAAGATCATGAAGAGGAAGGAACCAGTTGCAGGTTGCATGCTTGCTTATTGAAGGTTTTTTTTTTTTTTAATGGATAAATGTTTCTTCTGGTGGACTTTTTTGTTTGTTTGTTTTGGGGTGGGCCACACCTGATGGTACTCAGGGTTGACACTTGGCTCTGCACTCAGGATCACTTCTGGCGGGACTTGAGCCATATGGGGTGCCAGGAATTGAACCCAGGTCGAATACATGCAGGGCAAGTGCCTTACCTGCTGTACTATCCCTGCAGCCCCTCTTCTAGTTGACTCTTGTGTCTCTCTCAGGACATGCGGGTATGGGAGGGTGGGGAGCTGATGAAGGGTCATGCTGTCTGGGGAGGGTGTGGGGCCCAGCCCGAACTCTACATGTCTACACTGGACTTCTCTGCCCTTGAGGTTGGTGGGCTGGCAGAATGCCAGTAGATAAAGAGTCCAGAGTCTGCTGCCAGTCCAGACCACATGCCCTCCCCAGGACTAAGCAGGTCAGCCTCTGAAGCCCAGCTGCTCCACCTGCACCCTTTTATTTTTGTTTTTGGGCCACACCCAGAGATGCTCAAGAGTTACTCCTGGCTCTGCACTCAGGAATCACTCCTGGAGATGCTACGGGGACCATATAGGATTCCCAGGATCGAACCTGGGTCAGCCTCATGCAAGGCAAACACCCTACCCGCTGTTCTATTGCTCCATTCCCATCCATCCGTTCCTTTGCCTGGGCCATCAGGCCTCTCCCGTAGGGGAGGAGGCAGGTCAGCCTTCGTCAGCAAGGGGCGGTGAGCCCATTGTGCCCGGTGGTGAGAAACTGTTTCCTGCTGTGGAAACTCAAAGTCTGGCTGCCTTCTCAGCTTCCAATCTGCTTCCTCCAGCATCTGGCCCTGGATGAAGAAAATCTCGGGCCTTGGTGGACTAAAGGTGACCGAAGTTAATTGTCACCGGATCCCCAGAGTCTTGGTGCACTCAGTCTTGGTAATTCATTAAAAAAAAAAGCAACAACAACAAAATAAAAACCTGTGCGATCTGATCTTCCCGGCGCCATCGCCAGCTTTTACCAATACAGGTCACCTCCCTCTCTCTCCCGGCAGAATTGTTTACAGTCTGTGTCGTTATGAGCAGTGCTGCTGTGAATGACATTGTACAGATGGCATTTCCCACGTGTCTGACCATAGAGAAAACTGAAGCAGGATTGCTTGGTGAAGGATAGCTCTATCTGTTAGGGACTTTTTTTCCCTGGCAGGGGTTGAGGAGAGTAGTTCTGAGACCCTGCGACCCCTCCCAGTGAGTTGCCCAGTGGGGTTCAGGATGCAGTGTTGCTCGGGCCAGAGATGAACCCAGGGCCACCTGAACAGTGATCTGGGACCTCCAGTGCCACAATGAGGTTTGAACGCCCTCCAGAGGATCATATGGTGGGATTAAACCCCGCTCAGCCTTGTGTGAGATAAGTACCCTTTGCTACATCTCCTTCTTGTCTTTTCAGGAAGAAAATGTTAAGGGCTAGAGTTATAGTACAGCAGATAGGGTGTTTGCCTTACATGCAAAGACCTGGGTTTGATCCCAGCATCCCATAGGGTACTGTATCGAAGTACCACCAGGAGGGGCAGGAGCAATAGCACTGCGGGTAGAGCGTTTGCCTTGTATGCGGCCAACCCGGGTTTGATTCCCAGCATCCCATATGGTCCCCTGAGCACTGCCAGGGGTAATTCCTGAGTGCAGAGCCAGAAGTAACCCCTGTGCATCGCTGGGTATGACCCAAAAAACAAAAAAACACACGCACAAAAAAAAAAGTACCACCAGGAGTAATTCCTGAGCGTAGAGCCAGGAATAACCCTGAACATTGCTGGGTGCAGCCCAAAATTTAAAGATAAAAAAAATTTTTTAAAAGAAAAGTCATTTGCAAATCAGTTCACATACCGTATCTTATCTAATACGTTATCTACTCAAATCCTTATTTTTTTAAAAAAAAAAAGAAAAACAACCTTTTCACCCTAAAATTCTTTTGGAAAGGGTGTTTGAGGCTACACACCAGTGCTACTCAGGGGCTATTCCTGTGCTCTGGCTCTGTGCTCAGGAGTGATCCCTGGTGGTCCTTGGAACCCTGCCAGGGATTGAACTGGGGTCAACCCCATGCAAGGAAAGTGCCTGTCCTGCCGGCCTCTGGGCTCCAGTCCCGGGAAAGGCAGCATGG